TGTCAGACATACATTATATTGAATGTAAAGAAAGTCAAAATGCTGATAAGCAGTCTGGCTGCTGCTAAAGTAACACTCTCTTTATTTGGATCCAAAACTGTGGAAGAAAACTTCCAGCTGAAGCAAACTGATGTGGTTACACATCCAGGAATATTATTTTGAGAGAATAGGATGTTAACTTACAGTGAGTTACAGAACTCAGCAAACATGTTGCGATGGCAGGAAATGCATAAAAACACTTTTAAGAAACAGGGTTTTATTTTTACCCTATAAACTTTATAATCATTCAATATTCCAATGACAATACAGTTTAAAATGTACCCATGTTTTACTCACTCTTTTCTTTGCAATTATCACAATGTGTCCACACAGTAGCACCTCAGCCCCTCAAACTATACATTTGGTGTGGCCATTAAGGGCAATAATAATCCATACACTAACAACATATCAGTAGATAATGTGAATATGAGGCATTTTAATTGGATTGCTGCATAAAAGCAGTCATTTGCATGCAATATTGTAAGAACATCTGTAATTTTAATGTTTTACAGCTTTACTCTGACACAACAAGCTGGACAAACTCTATAAAAGCAGCTATAAAAATTACGAATGGCATCAGTTGCCCCTGAGCAAAAACAAAGAGTCTGAATTGAGTTAAGCAGATAACCCTAACCCGCTTCCTCAGTCCGAAAATACCTTAAGAATGGAAATTACTAAGAAATGTTGGTATGGAGGGGTGACTGCTTTGCTGGATACAAATAGCTAATTATCAACTGATTTAGACATAAAGGTTAAGTGAAGGTCAAGTAAAGGACAGCAGAGGAATCAAACTCATGAACGATCTAGGAAACATGGACAAAAGCAGATTATCTGAAGCAGCAAAGCTTATAAAACAAATCAAGCAGAAACAATCAAAACTCTGACTAAAACCCTACAGATCAAAGCTACGTCAACGGTTTCTGTTTATTGGTGACCTGCGTAGGTCAAACTCACAAAATATCATATAGCCATCTGTATTTCCACGTATGCACAAATATCTGTATTTTTATGCCATCAACTAGTTCTCTGTCTGTACTGTGTTTTTAGGATTATTTTTATCAACAAATTTTGTTATGAAAATGGTTAGAAACGCTTCAGTGCTTGGATACAGTTTAGTTCAATTCCAAAGCAATTTCTGTATTAATTTGTCACTTGATAACAAATTTTTTAAAAGTGTCAAGTCTCTTAAAACATCAGTGCATCTGTGAAATGTTAGCTAATTGTCACTACAGTTTGTAGAACTTATCAGTTCTACAAACTGTTTTTTAATGGCGCGGTCACAGCCATCCCATGAAAAATGTTTTAAAAGTTTCCCCATTTTTAATCCAGCATTCCCTTTTATGTATGTGCTGTGGCGCCCTGCTGAGATTCTTGCCTTGCAGCTATTAGCAGGATTTTATAACCTTCATCTCTGGTTATAAACTAGACTTAAAACTAAAATTAAAGATTACCTCGTGCTATGTTAACATCAGAATATTGCATGCAAAAATGAATTGAAATGTTTCTTTTAAAATGCATATATTCTGAATGAAATATCTAAAGTTGTAAGACGGCAAACATCCTAGAGTATGTCATTTGACCCAGTTTTAGTCCTTTTTCAATATCCTCTTCATATAGTAGAGATCCACTTCCATCTGTGTTTTACTGCAAGCTTTGGAGATATTGTGTTGGGTTAGTGACTGGATAAAAAGTGTTTATAAAGGAAAGTTCATGCATGACTTAAAAAAATCATTGAAAACGGATAACTGAATGGGCTGATGGTATGTGCTCTTCATCCGCAGGCAGCTTTTGAACCAGAAAGGCCATGCATGGTGAACATGATGGATTTTTACACACAAAAAGCAGGACAGGCATGCAAGAAACATCGAACAGTAGACCCCATACACTTTCTTCCAAAAACTACAATATTTATAACCCTTTGAGTTTTTCACATTTTGCCCCAGTATGACCTCAAACTTCAATGAACACAAAGTAGTCCATACATAACTGTGAATATGGAAAGAGCTTCTCTTACAAATGTCAAATCAAGAATGTATGGTTTCTGTATTCAGCCCATCAGGAAAATATCATCAGGAGATGCAACCAAGAGCCCTATGGTAACTCTGGAAGAACTGCAGAGTTATACAGAACTCTATGCAGAGCACACCATCTCCCCGCTGTGGTTCCAGCAGCTTCGGGAACGCTAGTCAAAATTGTTTGGGAGATGGATGGACCTAAATAAGTAATCCTGAAAGAATAACTGAACATAGTCTGTGAAAACTTGAGACCAGTATGTAGTTTCACTTTCCAGTGAGGCACGGACTCTAAACATACACCTAGCGGTACTGTGGCATATTTTCTCAAAAACATATTGCTTAGATTGGCCCTGTCAAAGCCCACATCTGATAATCTGTTGCAAAGTTTCACAATTGATGATCAGGCGCTTCAGCCGATCTGATTGAGTTTGAGCTGTTTTGACAAAGAAGAATTGTGAAGAGTTTCCGTTTCTAGATGTGCAAAGGTGGGCACGTCCACAGTAGAAGATAAATGAGAGGACTAATAAGAAAGCACAGGTTGCTGGAAAGGGTCTCAATGCCTTGGTCTAAAAGAAGATCCTAACCTTCACCGTCAGTGGAGAGGAAATTAGATGAGAATAACGACCAAGGAACAGGAACACAACGGCTTTAGGAACACTGTTGCTGTCTGTTGACAGATATGTTGTTTGCTGGAGGTGTCTTGCTGCTGGTGCTATTGTCTTTGGAGTAATTCAGTTTTGTTTTCTCTGTTACGAAAACACAAAAGGAGAGCACCTGGTCTGATTTGCTGATTGAGTTCCTTTATTTAGTTTCCTTTGTGCTTCTCATATTGTACTCTGTACCACTGTTTCTTCATCAAGTTGTCTTTTAAACTCCTTAGTTTCTTAACCTCCAGAGGTAACCTCTGTTACCTCTGGCCCATACGTTTCTTAAAGCCAATGTCCTTTCTTAATTTTCTCCCTGCCTACATGACCGGCATGCATTTGAATTTGCTGAACAATGCTCTGTAGCTGCTGGTGCAACAGAGAGCTTACCGAAAACTTTCTGTATACTTTATTACTTAAACAGAAGATAATTCACAGTTTTAATTTATTTTGCATCCTCTAACTAGTTCGTATTTAAATTAAACCCATGTGCTTATATGCTGATCAATACGGACTGGCCCCTTGGTTTGTTAAAGCTCCTTTCTCGTGATATTTGAGTAAAAGACACGCAAATGTTATTTGGTGCGACTTTGTCAGAATGTTACATTTTACAGCAAAGCGCCAGGATCTTCAATTTATCCCAACACCAAACGCGTTTATGTGCTGTCAGACTATTCAAAAGAAGTGCATAACTTTTAAGAAATATTTAATCAACCACAATCGTACCACTTGCTTTGTTGTGCTTTAAAAACTGCAAAAATGTACTAGCGTTTTCTCTTCCTATATAAATCATCAAGCAATACACTGCTCCCTCACTGAAACATGTGGATGCGCACTGCCAGTCAGCTGGCAGAAAGAAGTTTCCCACACTTTTGAGGCACTTGGAACAGGACCTGAATACTCTCTTTTAGTCTTTATAGCCTGTCTTTTCTTTAACAACCTTCTGTTTTTTCTTCTGTCTCTGTGTCCAGACTGTTTCCATTAAACTCTAATGGCTTTATGGAAGTTGCAAACTGTGCCAGAGAAAAGACAAAGACAGCATGATGCTTGTTTTGCCTCACCACAATGTTAGCCATACTAAACGTGCACTTCCTTGAACTAACTGTGTCATTACTGCTGACATTATCACTGCTGCAAGGGTATTTCCAGCATTTGGAGACACAATTTTCATCTAAAAATGTCAGGTTAGAAAACTCTGGTACAGTGTAATTAATTTTTGAGTTCGTCTCACTTTAGTATTCTATTCATTCGGCCTTTTCTGAAATTTGCAGCACGGCTCATTACACAGGGTATTAGACTGTTATGAACACAAAATTATCCTTAAAAAGGTTTTGAACAGCAAGACGCAATTCTCACATCCAAAGCATGACTATTTCTTTCTTGTGGAGCCCTGAGATCCCCTCCCCAACAAACTCTTTATAATGTCCCTTAAATCTCAATCTGAAAAGCATTGGCCTTAATAACAAGAAGCATTCAGGCAATATTCCCAGCTTATCAAGGAGCTGCTGCTTACTGGAGATAAGATCAGCTCCACTCGTCTCCGGAGATAAATTGTGTCTGTGATTGCCGCTTCTTATAATCTTCAAACCCTCCCGGCATTATCCCAGATAGCCTGTTGCCAAAATTCAGCAGAGATTTAATTTCAAACTGAGTTTAATTTCGCAAAATAATCTAGAAAAAAAAAAGAATGATTAAAAAAAGAAGAAGTTTGCAATGGAGGGATACGAGTTATGTCAGATCCGAGTTGCACAATTGTTTGTGATTGTTTTTGTTTTGACAGAATTACGACAAATGAAATTCAGTAATATCTGACCCCTTATTCACATGCATATTTGACCTCTCAAGCGATGATTTCACATAAAGTTAAAGATATCTTTTTTGACTATGCAGATCGGACTGCCACCCTTCTGGCCCCCCGCCCACTGCCCCCCCACCTGAATCACTTTGCAGGCATTTCGTTTGGTGCTGATTTAAAGATGCAGAAGACAGCTTCCCTTGATCCACCACACCGGAGGACTCAGCAGTTACCTTACCGAGTCATAGACACGCTCACGCAGACACAGACACACACACACACACATGCACACACATACCGGGCTGGAAATTACTGGAGCGAGAGAGGGAGAGAGAGAGAGCAGTTGAAAGGGAGAGAGAGGGAAGCAGGGAGGGAGAGAGGTTGAAACAGACGCACGGTGGATTATTTTGGCTGCTGCCACGGTGGATGTTGTGCAGGCAGACGGTGGACGGAGAGAGCGTGAATCTGTCCACACTGAGAGCTTTATTTTATTCTCTTTGTTTCCAGAGACGGTTCCCTGCATGGTGTTGATATGGTGAGTGTCTTGAGATTTTGTCTGCAGCTCCTGCTATTGTCTTGCAAGCACAGCAGCCCTTAACTACTTCTTGTAATGCATTCCCATGCTAAGAAGTGATCTGCGGTTACGGTGTCGGTGCGCGTGCTTGTGAGTGAGTGACACTTAATATGTGTCCTGTCGCTGATTAGTTGTTTTATGAATGTTTCAAGTGGCCACTGTGGGATTTAATGAGAAATCAGTTTTGCACCTTGGTGTGGTAGTCGTGAGTTCATAGAGATGTCAGTTTAAGCCTGATCCTTTATATTTATTACAATCTGACACGTACCATTTTCTCCTGTCATTTTTTTTTTATTATTTAAAGCTTTATATTAGAATAGAATGTTTACCAATATCTATAAAAGTGTCATTCTATATAAAAGAGTTACCCGGGTAGTTTCTCTGAATTTCTGTTTAATGCAATGCAAGATTATTACAGCACTTCCTATAGCTTCAAGCCAACTCCTTAAATGAGATTTTTAATGCTGATGAGAGATTAAGGAGGCTCCAAACAGCTTGTATTCCACTGGGGTTGCTGCTCCCCACTCAAAACCTGCTCAGAGGCAATCTCTCACGACTGGACCCATGCTCCAGGCACATCACCTAAAACCCTTTAGTGGTGCATTCAGACACTGGGGAGCCAGTTGGGTCTGTTTTTTTGGTGGGCACTGTGAATTGAACTGTGGGAGATTCTAATTTATTTAAACATGTATCTGTATTTTTTTTTTGTTTTTGTTTATTTGTTTTAAACGGGTTTTTGATTATAGCCGTAACAGGATCTCCACAGGACTCTATGATCATCTTTCTTTCTGCAGAATGCAGTGATAGCTTCCTGTTCGGCTGCAGTTCCTGCATCTCTTTTTGCCACCTCTGTAACTCGGTGACCGTAATGTGCTGTAACGTCCTGATAACTGTAGGTTTGACAGCAGTCAGCAGTCTTGCTCAATTGCTGTCTGTATAGCACCCGCTACAGACCTCGACTCGCGTACAGATCAATCACGCAAAGTCTTCTTATAGCAGTTAGGTTGTGAGCCTGTAAGATTGAGACATGTGCATGGAGAAAACGTAATAATGAGACATGGCTCACATACCAGCTCCACATGTGAAGGGTGTCTGCTCCAGAAAAAAAAACTAAAAAAAAAACTAACCTGCTCTGGAGGGCTTTGTGAAGTTTTAAAAATGAATGTTCCTAATTCATGACAAAATATTAGCATGGACGCTAAAAGGTCGCTGAAAGTTTGAATTATTTAGATCCAATCGATAGAAAACTGAACAATTCTAATTTCTGGAGAATTTAATTGATGCATCTATAGATTTTTTAAAAGATTCTACAATGAATCTGCAAGCATTGTAAAATAATCTAGCCCAGGTTTGAAAAGTTCAAACATTTCACTTTTTTGTGCTTAAGGGAGACCAAATGCAATGTTATTGCAGATATGATAAATGCTTCATGAATCTTAATCTGTGTTTAAAATAATCTCTGTTCAGGTCTGACGTGTTTTAAGTGTTTTAGATTTTGATCTGGGGGCAGACATGCGGACTCGCACTGCATTTAAGTTGCAAAGATTTCAACCTATGCTGTGTAGTCAGAGGTGAAAATAAACCCCATCATTAAAATGTTTATAATAAAAAGGGTAAAAAAAGCAACCCTCAACTCTGACAGACGCATGTATGCTGTCCTTTTAATAAAGACTGAGATTTAGTCATTAGCCAAATTAATAATGGTTCCAAAACCTGTTTATGTTTCACTGTCAACTCAGTGTTGGCACAATGACATTTCTAGTTTTTTCAAAATAAAAGTAAAAGGAGAAAGTCTTCCTTTTTGACTCATTCAAAAAAAAATTCAACATTACCTGCTGGATCTTTATATGCTTTAATTGCACTGAAACACAAACATTGTAAAGACAACACTACAGTGAGATACTTCCTGCTTTACTTCGAAATAAGAAGCATTTTTGTCATCTAAACTGCAATAGACTTGTTGATGCATTTAGTCTGAATTTAAAATAAAGTTACCTTCTAAATTATTCAACAATAATGAGTACATATGTGCTACACATATGTATATCTGAAATATGGAGTCAGAGAACTACTTTACTGCTCTCTGTATATACTCCTGGTCACATTAGGTAGGTGGGTCAAGCTGTTAATACCTGACCTCAGCTTGCTGCACTCAGGTCAGAGGTGCCTCCCCACATGCCATGTTTGAGAATGGCCAACTCCCACCCTGACCAATATTTCAGTGCGTCCCTGTGCAGCGTGTTTCTGTGTGCATGTGCTTGCGTGCCACTGCAGCTGTTCCACCTCTCTGAGAGATTAAGTTTCACAAGATGTGATGGATGCCACTGTCTGCAGTGCCAGCTGTAAGTGCGTGTGCAAACACACACGGAGCCGGGACTGCGATTCATGTGTGCCTCAAAACGGGCCAAGTCATCACTCTGAGGGCTGGGTCAGGCGATGAATCGGAGCGAGGTGGCGCTAAGGTCAGGGTTGTTTGGAGTTGGATTGGTAATTATAGTGGCAGAGCGTTTGGTTCCCACAGACCAGCTCAGTCGAAACCAGGAAGACTGGAACAGGCCAGCAGGGCCAATAACAACAACTCTACTGAGATTAAACAAACAAAAAAAAAAAGAAAGTTTTTTGATGCCTTTTTGAAAACCTTTTTTGTTGCCTGAGTGTGCATGTAAGCTGGAGACTAAATAGTAGGACTAATTCACACGAGTCAAACTGTAT